TACCAGCCCCAGGGGAAGAAGCTAAGGGCTTTTTGTACGTACGTATACTGTAGGGAGTGGTCTACCTACCAGAACCAGACCACAACGAATCAAAAAGTTTGAAAGAAGAGAAGAAAAAACCCTAACTACGTACGTATGGGCACTGGCGCTTAGATTAGATTAGATTAGATTAGATTAGATAGGACTTGACTAGTCATTGTGGTTGTCTGAGCCCCACTGCCACTTCCACACCATCCCTCCCCTCCAGCGACGAGACCACACAAGGTAAAAAAAAAAAACTACTTCGCAGTTACTTACTTTTTTACCATTCATTAATTACCCTTCTTCTCTGATTAACTATACCCACCCTGTCCCTCTGACAAAAGAAAGTCCTTGTTTAATTGCCCTTCGTTTTCCACTGCGATTCGCCCATCCAGATTTGCGAATGGCCCAGCAGTACGTGGTACTGCTCTGCAGCTCCACCAGGTCACAGAAAAAGCAATATTGGCTGCACCCTTGTGCACTATGGTTCCTTGCAAATAATTTTGTGCATTATAATTTTGAGGATTGTAAAAACTATTAATTTATAATAGCTATTTATCAATCGATAAATTAGTGATTTATTAAATTAAAAAGGTTAGTAGTTAACACAAACAACTTCTTATAACTTTAAAATTATACTCGTATATGGTGTGCGCTAATTTTATTTGAGTTATATGAAGGACTTGATCTAGTGGTAAGACCACTAGTTTTGTCCTGGAGGTTCCAGATTCCAATACGTTCAATAGTACATAAACAAAAAAAAACTTATATCAAATTTATAAAAAAAATTAATGGAGTTATATTTGATAAATAACTTTTGAGGTTCATTGTATTACTTAACCATTCAAATTCATAAATAATTACTTTGAATACCCATAAATATTTATGGTACTTGGATCCCGCCTTAACAAACTAGTAATGTAGTCAAAAACGAGTTTTTGCGTAGAAACGTTTTGGTGATCTAGAAGCGTAAAATCGTAAGTTTTTAAGTTTTAAAGCGGAGTTTTTAACTACATAAGTTATAAAAATTGAGATTTTGTGTAGAAGCATTTTAGTGACCTAAAAACGTAAAATTACAAGTTTTAAGTTTTAATACGCGATTTTGACTAGATTAAGTATCATTTGTTGTTTGTATGAGATGAACTCTAACTATCGTGAATTAGAATTGGTTGGAATCAATATAGATGTCTGATGACTGATTAGCATGTCAATCAAAGTAATACATAGAAGATTAGTACTTTTAGAAACGTGTATTCTCAAGGGTTCCTTTTGCTTCACTCACTACTTCAAACCAACCACTAGTATTTCAAAAAAATATTTCGGCTGATGTTCCAATAAATCCATTATAATGTGAAATCTTGGATCACTCTATGTTTCAAAAATCTAAGCACGGATGTTTTTGTTGGGGAAAAGTGTTCCTTTTATGCAAAGGTAAAATTATATTATTACCTACCATATATGTGAATATATTATTGCACGAACAAATCTCACCCATGCTGTAATCCGCTCCTGCTTGTATCGTGTGGCTTATGGGAAATGAATATATGATTGTTTCTTGGTAAAAAAAAAAAAGAACTATAAATCGAAGGAACCAATAAGACAAGTCTTCCGAAATGTGGCAAGCATTACTGCACAAAGCAAGATCAAACACTCATTGATTAGCAATAAGTGTCAAAAGTTATAAAGGTTTGTTGTTTATATTGCTTGAGTGAATGTAATGTTGTGTAATTTCTATCTTTAACAAGAGTGCTTGTGATGAAGATAAATAACTTTATTTGAGTTATATTCGATAAATAACTTTTAAGGTTCATTGTATTATCCTAATAATTCAAATTCATAAATAATTATTTTGAATACCTCGATAAATATTCATGGTACTTGGATTACACCCAAACAAACTAATGTCCTTTGTTGTTTGTACGAGCAAGACGAGTTTGAGGCTAGCCGCACCAATGCGGTAAAGCTGAGGACCCCTTGAAGGATCATGCACACGCTGCTCACCCGATCCGTCGTCCCTAGCTTGCAATCAGGCCATTTGCTCACGAACAGAGGGTTGCTTGCTCTCTTTTCGATGAGGCATCTAGCAGAGTTGTGGTTGATAAGTGATCTTCTTGAGACTTGCATTGATTCATGAACAAGGTGAGAACTTTTTCGTTTGCCCGTTTTTCGTGACCTCGAATGTCGTTTGTGGTGGATGTCAGTATTTCTTGCAACGGTTCATATGTTAATTGCCAATAGCCATTGAGATTCGCCACTTTGTGCCTTTGATTTCTCTCCAAAGCATTTTTGTTAGGTTGAGAGATTATCTTGTGTGAAATGGTTTGCTTGGGGACAAGCAAACGTCTAAGTGTGGGGGAGTGATTCGGGCCTAATTGTACACGTTTTATCCCCGTTTTGCTTTGATGTTTGTTGCAATTGAACTCCAAAAAGGTGATTTTACGCGAGGTTTCTTGTGTTTCAGTGTGTTTCATATCCTAACAGGTGAAACCAACCTCGGAGTCGAAAGTTGTAAGAAAAGGAGCAAAGACCGGGCAAAGAAGAGGAGACAGCCACAATTCACGGTCCGCCATTGAGTTCACGGTCTTACAGAATTGTGAAATGAAGCCCTATTTCGTGAAACAAGGAGTGTCCATAGAGGGTTTTGAGGTTACTGACGCCAAGGTTGTTCACGGTCGCTAGGACAATGAACAGAAGCCACAAACCGTGAACCCCAGGATGTGAAGCGGTGCATTTTGGTTTAGGCTTTATGTTCACAGACGTGTTTCGATGTTCACGGCCGTGAACTGGGCTCAATCTCAGTTTGAAGAGCCAGCTGAAAGGAAGAAGAAGGAGAGAGACATAGTGTGAGAAACTTCTTCTTCTTCAGATTTTAGAGTGAGAAAGTGACGAACCAAAGAAGAGGAGAAGCTAGGGTTTCATCTCCAAGCAAGGAATTGGGAATTCCTCCCCCAAAGGATGATCTCTTCAAGACAAGGAGCAAGGCTTTCATCTTCTTGATGATTTTCCTTTCCCTCTCTTGTGTTTTCCCTTCTCCTAGCATGGAGTAGTCCCTTCTTTCACTTGGGTGTTTGTAAACCCTAGCTACAATTATGTGAATGCTTGTAAGAATTGAATGATTTGTGTGTGGTTGTATTTAATGTGAATGTGGAGGTATTTTTCATGATGATTGTGAGTGCTATGTTGACATAGCTTAGAGAGGAGACCTCCTTAGGTTAAGAAGCTCAATTAGAGATGGGTGTTCTTGGGCATTACATGCCTCCTAGGCTAGTTTAGAGAGGAAACCTCCTTTATCCAAAGAGGCTCAATTTGAGTTGGGTTTCCTTGGGCATTCAAAGCCTCCTAGACTAGTTTAGAGAGAACTCTCCTTAACCTAAGAGGCTCTATTATAGATGGGTTTCCTTGGGCATTTCATGCCTCCTATTCTAGGTGAATTAAGGGCAAACATCCTATTTCGTATTAGCACTCAGGGTTTGGTTGTGGGTTGCCGTCCGAACTCTAATTCGAGGGTGAAGTCTAACCATCCCTTAGTCGATAGATTGAGAGGGTCGCATTAGCGTCTTGGATCATATCCCATTTCCTCAACCTAGAGACTAAGAGGTAGCCTTGGTTACTTGTTAGACTTCCCTGCGGTTTATAACCCCCTAACCACACACGGTCGTTCGATTCTTCAAGTCGTAATTGTTAGCTAGGGGGAGCAACACCCGGGTGAAGCCTTCTCAATTAGTGTCAAATCCATTTTACCCTTGCAAAGTACTTTAATTTTAGACCTTTGTTTTCACCAAAACTCATTCGCTAGATAATGTTTCAAACAGTCGAAGTCGCGATACATGGGCGGCCCGGGTGAATATTTAAACATACTTGCCCTATATTGCACCCATCTAAGGTTTATACTTGTGTCTTAAGTGTGATTTTATTGTGATAGTCAGAGCGAGTCAGTTGCATGGAAGAATTCCTACAAGCCTATGACATAAAGGTCTCAATCAATAAAAAAGGACCAGAGCATGTGAACAACGACATCGGGAGTTGGTCAGAAAAAAATTGGTAAGTTTTCACATTAATGCTCAAGCTAAGCACATACTTAAATGTTCCCTTGGGGAGAAAGAATATGACAAAGGTGTCATGTGCAAAATCGAAAAAGAAATCTTGGAAACTACATATGAATGTACGTCTCAATAAGATCTAGTCAAAGGATTAGGAAGCTACTGAAATATATGAAAGATTCACGAATATAGTAAGTTGATAATGACTCTTACACTATGTTCATTTGGAAAGGAAAAGGAGGGGAGGGTCTGAAAAGGAAGGAAAACAGCAATTCCCATACACTTCTCCCAGTTTTCTAAATTCAGAACAGTGATGAAGGGAAGGAAAGGGGGGAAAGAGTTACTGTTCCACCCACCCCCCCCCCCCCCCCCATTTTGGAGAGAAAAGGCAACCTGCCTATTAATTCCCTTTTCTTATTATTATTTGCCCTCTCTCCTCTCTTTTCTCCACTATCTTCTTCCTTTTCCACATATACGAACCAGTGGAAGAACAAAAAACAGAGGCCTTTTCTTCTTCTTTGTTCTCCCTAGAGCTGGTCCGCCATTTTTCTACCACTGCACAAATAATGACAAGAAAGCTATATTTCCATCATCCCCCATAATCTATCCTACATTCATTCCATTCATCGAAAATCTGTTGTCTCCCCATAGATCGACGCAGCTTCCTCTTTTTTTAACTATTCTAAATAATTAATGTAAATAATATAAACACATAATTAAATTATTTAATTATTCTATCATCAATAAAATATAATACATATCACAATTCCCAATCTACTTTTTCCCTCCCACTTTCCATTCCACTTTACTCCATTAAACAACATTTTCTTTCCAATTCCCTCTAATTTCCCTCCCTTCCAAACTTAACCTCCCCTCCAAATTTTCCTACCCTCCCCTCCTTTTCCTTCCTTTCTTCATGAACATAGTGTTAGAAATATTTACACCAATGTTGATCTAGCTAGTAAGATCTTCAACTCCTTACCAAGGTCTTGGATACCAAAGATAACGACTATAGAAGAATTCAAAGATATTGCTAATCTTGAACTAAGTGAGTTAATATGCTCACTAACTGCTCATGAAAGTGTGTTAAGAATTAAGGGCGATGAGCAACCTCGCAAGAGGAAGGATCTAGCCCTCAAATCTCATTTGATGGAAGATGAAGAAGAAATAGTAGAACAAATTGCACTTCTATCCAATAAATTTAGGGCATATACGATTCAAAATAAATTAGTACACTAATCATGGAAGATTTGTCAATGATAGGAAGTTCGAAAAAGAAATTCTAGTCAAAATGAGGAAGAAAAAAGTGCCATAAGCACTGGGAAAGATACTGTTACTTGTTCAGGTGTGGAATACATGTCACCTTAGAGCTTATTGCCATAAAGAAAATATGGTAAAGAACAAGTTATGAATGCCACATGGAGCTAAAGTGAAGAAGGATTAGATGATTCAGGATCCGAAACAGATCATCAAGGCTACATCAATCGTATAGAACAACATCACCTTGGTCTAATGGCAAAAGAGAAACCAGACTTTCAGGTACTCCTTGAGCCACTTCTTGCATGTATATAATATGATTAAGATGATTCCATAAGGTCATCCAATATAAAAAATAAGGGTCAAAATGATAAATGTCACAAACCTGATCTCAAGAAGAAACTAAAGAGAACAGAACGCATGTTTAGTAAAATCATGGATAGTATATGTGACCTAGAGAACTTTCTACAAAGCCTTACCAAGCCTGTAACTCAACTAGAATATGATTGTCAAAAGCAAATAGGAATGGTGACAGAATTATTAACAAAAGCTCAGAAATTAGAAACCGTAATTAAGACAACATCATAAAAAGGCTCAATTTCACATAAAATCAAATGTTTAGGTATCATAAGTATGAGCACAAAAGAGACGAATGTTATACTCATCTAAACTGTTGGTTCTATCACAATACAAACCATCATCGTAGTCAATGTAATTTTGATATTACAAAGTCAATAAATAAGTTTAAACAACCATGTGTTCCAAACCCAAAAACTCAAAATAATATATATAATAAATTAGCTAAATTTCAAAATTAAGCATAAAGGCTGGGAAGGGTTCTTTGACCTCTGTAAGCCAAACTCCACCCACTATTTTCCACTTGTAGTCAATAAGTTTTACTTCAATCTTGTGGCGTAAGGTTAAGACTGCTCAGCCCTGCCCTCTTTCTTTCAAGAACGACGTGCTTACTTCAAAGCGGATTGCTTCGCTAAGAAGTTGAATCTTCCTCCCAAGGCCCGACTCTTCAAAGTGAAAGTGAGTTGAAATCTCATGGATATCACTTTGATGTAGAGCTGAGGAAGACTACAAAGGAATCTCTCAAAGTCATAAACTTGCCTGAACCTTTCAGAGTTCTCAATTGGCTGACAACTCACTTCTTCCTTCCCCGAACTGAGGGTCACACCTATCTTCAGCCTCTTGATCTTTTCATTCTGACCAATGCTCACGAGAAGAAGTCATTAAATCTGGCCTCTTTGATGTGTATTCACATGGTCAAGATTGCTGAAAAAGGAGGAATCTTGGAATGTGGAACTCCCCTATGCCACATTCCAAACCCAGTTCCTCCAGGATGTGGGTATCGATCTATATGGATTGTTTTGGAAAGCGAGTTCATTACAGCTCCTCTATACCAGATCTTGCATGATATGGGTTCCTATAAACACTTGAGGAACCACAATCATCATATGTAGCTACACAAATGAGTGAGAGAAATCCTAGACGTTTCTCAGCTCACAACAGTAGTGCCTAGAAATGACTAAATAGTAGCTAGAAATTAAAAAGAGCTGATAGAAATGACTAAACAACTGCTAAAAATTAAGAAGAGAATGGCTGATAATTAAGATGAGGATTGATGGCTGCTGGAAATAATTAAACAATTGTTGAATTTTAAGGAAGCAATAACCAAATGAACCTTAAAACAAAAAACATTAAGGATTGAAGTTGTTCATACATTCTCTCCATGGCATCAAAGTTACATAATATTCTCTTTTGCTTCATTCAATTCTTGGACAAAAAATGACATTGTTGGCTTCCCACCCAAACCGACCAAAAGTATAGCTTTCACCAAAGGCATAGCAACTCGAAGACAATTCACAACATTGGTCCAAAATCCATCATCTAGAAGAATCATTTGAATCCCTTTTCCCTCTAGAATGCTTGCGAAATTACTTTTCCTCCATTTTTCATAAGAAAACATAGTCATCAAGTTACCTTTTTGTTCACTAAGGCAACCTAGAGTCAATAAGAAGTAGAAAATCTTTTTTGAGTAGGTCTAATCAAATCCCTACCCTCTGTGAGCTCTTTCATCATATTAAACATATGTGTCATCGTGTAGATGAGATTAGTGAATTTTTATTTCTTTTTGAAATTGTTGTCTCATGAACCATCATATGTTTCTCAAAATCCTCCAAGATCAAATACAGATAATGAGTTGCACAAGGAGTTCATAACAAATGTTTCCTCTTCTTCATTAATTATTCTCGTGAAACTGTATAAGCAGATGCATTATCAGTTATGATTTTAACAACATTTTCATTTCTGCCTTGTTTACAATATTATCTAGCATCTCAAAGACCTTCTCTATATTCTTACAGATGCAAGATGTATCTATACTATAGGCTCAACAAAGACAGACCCTCTTAGACTGTTGACCAAAAAATTGCAAATAGAGTTTTTCTTCTACTTCTTTCGTCTCTTCTTTCAAGAAGATTTCTCTTAATTCATGGTATGATGGTGGTTTAAAACTTGAACCATGTCTAACAACAAGCTCAAACATATCAGTAATCAAAGGATCTCTTACAACATTAACAGAAATGGCATTGTTGTAGTACCATTTTGCTATACTTCGGATTTGTTCCTTTCATATATCCTTTATCATCAATTGGATCATGGTTGTTCGAGTATGAGTTGGTGGAATGCTACTATAATTAAAATTTCCCCTATGAGACAACATATTAGACTAAACGATCTCATGAAATTCAGATATAGTATTGTACCTCATTTGCTTCTAAGTTGGGCTCCGGGAGCTTCAAGATTTTGTGTCTCACATCACTGTAATTTCTCTTGTTCCGGTAAGATGATGTTTTGTGACGAAATGCACCACCATAGAACATCTTGGAGCAGAACTTGTATTTAGCCTCTCTACATCGTTGTTTACATCATTCAAATCTTTTCTAATTCTAGGAGCATTTCTTTTCCTTTGTGATATTTCGCACTAGAACCACTAGCATTGGCAGCATTTGTTGTAGGCATAGCATATCATCACTTGCACGATTGCACCTGAAGTATGACATAAGATTAGGAGTCAAACTCCATAACCCAAACAAGAGATGCAAACCACAGTTACACATCATTATCATCAAAATTTGATCATAAATTTGATATCAATTCCATAAGAAATCGCAAAATTAAACACAATTCAACCTCATCAAATAATTGTAAATTGGTCGTAAGCACTAAACATGTTAACAAAGATTTGAGATGGTGAAACCCTAGAGTCTGCTCATTCTCATTTCAGTGAAGCCTTATATAGGCTGAACCATTACAAGAAGACAATCTACAATCCAGCTGCTACAGTCTTGTCAGTTAGCTTGGATTGGAAACAAAGTTCATACTTGAGACAAAAGAAATCGAAGGGAAAGTAAGGTAAAGGCAGGACGACATCGTAGCACTTTGGGTAAGTGAACATGGTCAAAATGATGCCGTAGGGTTCTCCTTCTTCGCTAATAAAACTTGACCGTTAGAAATTGAATTTTGAGATTCAATTCCTGTTCCCCCCCCCCCCTCGCGCAAGCCGGTGGGCAGAGATTCCGCACACCGAGCGTGGAAACCAGATGAAAGGAAAGGTGCTGGAGATAAAGGCTTGGTGAAGAGGTCAACAAGTTGGTGGGTTGAGGACACATGGAGCAATTTCAGAATCTTCCTCTGCAGCTTTTCTCGAATGATATGGCAATAAAGATCGATGTGTTTTGTTCATTCATGGAACGTAGGATTCTCAGCAATATAGATAGCACTCTGATTGTCGCAGTAGATGTTGGCTGGTTGAGGATGGTCAATTTTGAAGTCACGAAGGAGAAAGAGGAGCCATTGGAGCTCACATGCAGAGAAGGCAAGAGCCCTGTACTTTGCCTCACAAGATGATCGAGACACTGTGTGCTGCTTCTTGCTCTTCCAGGAAATCAAGGAATTGCCAAGGTACACACAGTAACCCGTAATTGATCTTCTAGTATCCACACAAGCTGCCCAATCTGAGTATGAGAATGCTTTGAGTTGAAATTGACCTTGAGAAGGAAAGAAGATACATGTGGCAGGAGCAGTCTTGAGTTATCTGAGAATTCTGAGAACAACTTTGTAATGAGTGATACTAGGCTTGCCCATAAATTGACTAACTTGTTGTGTAGCAAAGCTTATGTCTTGTCTTGTGGTGTTTAGGTAGATCAATTTACCCACAAGAGTTTTGTATAGTTCAGGGTCTTCAAATGGAATGTCACACTGTTGAGTGAGATGATTTTTGTAGTCCATGGGGGTGGAGACAGGTCTTGAGTCCAAAATATTTGCCTCTTCTATGATTTCCAAAGCATATTTGCACTGAGATAGATGAATGCCTTGTTTGTTCCTTGCGACTTCCATACCCAGAAAGAACCTTAAAGTACCCAAGTCTTTAATGCCGAATTCAGAATGTAGAACAGCTTTGAGTGCCTCAATATCTGTAAGATCATTGCCACCAACAACCAAGTCATCAACATAAATCAAAATGCAAGTGTAGCTGGATTCTGTTGCTTTAAAGAACAATGAATGATTCCTGACTTTGAACATAGCCAACTTGAAGAAGTTTGTCTGTGAGTTTAGAGAACCATTGCCTTGAGGCTTGCTTAAGGCCATAAAGGGATTTTTTAGACGACAGACAGGGTTAATGAAGCGTGGTGGTGGTTCATAACCCTTTGGCAATGTCATATACACTTCCTCCTGGAGATCTCCATGGAGGAAGGCATTATTGACATCTAGTTGATGTATATGTCAGTTTCTGAGGGCAGCAATAGCTAGGAAGGTTCTAATGATTGTCATCTGGACAACTGGGGCAAAAGTGTCCTGATAATCCACTCCTTCTTGCTGAGTGTTTCCTTTTGCAACAACTCTTGCTTTAAATCGTTCCAAGGAACCATCCTGTTGAACTTTAATTTTGTACACCCACTTGTTGCCAATTG